ATGGTTGTTGCCACTACTATGGCTACAATTAGAGCTATTATTGTTGGCATTATCATCTTTACTATTGTTTTCACGATCAGTGCTGAGCATTGTAACGCTGCAACCGGGAGAACCAGAATCGAAGAAGCGCACACAGAAGGGCTTAAAGCTTCCTAAGTAACATGGGGTCTCAATGGTTTGGGAAGCACTCCATAGAGTTCCTCGGTATAAGGATAGTACAGTAGCACCCCCCCCTCAAAAAAAACCTAGTCTAGGTACAAAGGCCCCTATATGACAAAGCCTTAAAACCCCGATAAAGGCCCTTAAAGTAGAACACTTATGTACCCGTTTTGACGAACCCTTCAACGAAACCCCTGTTCCAATGATTAAGGTGGTAAGGTTTAGGGCTAGGGCACGGGGGGTTCGGATGTAGCGGATGGGTGGAAGGAGTAGAGTTCGTTCACTGTCCTCGGGACTTGGCGCTTGAGGCTTTAGGATCTGGGATGTCGGGTTTAGGGCTTCGGGGTGTCTAGGTCTTTGGGATTTAGGGTGCAGGGCTTGCGGTTTACGGTTTAGGGTTCCGGGCTCGGGGCGTTCTCAAAGCCTGGGATTCGCACTTGTCCCCTTCAAGCGGTGCTTCCAGTATAGCCAGCTACAAAGCCCGCCTACAAAACCCGTAGAGTCATTCACAGTCACATGCAGCCGACAGCACACTTTACGCAACCCTACAAAAACCTATTGGTAAAACACCATCAAGCTGAACGTCTTTTCGGGGTTTTGATTCTTTGCAGCTTTGCCCATGGGACACAAATCCAGGCTTTAGGCTCAGGGGTTGGAAGGGTCAGGATTCTTGAATCAAGGCTTCAGAAAGTTTAGGCTTCATGTTTCAAAGGGGTTTAGGGTTTAGGGTTAAAGGGACCCCAAACCCTAAACCCTAAACCCTAAAAGGGACTGCTATTCCTGGCCCCTCCTGGCATCGGCCACCTCCTTGACGAACAGAATCTCCGGCCAGACCTTGAAGCCTAAGCTCCGAATCGACGATCCCAGAAACCGCAAACCCTAAACCCAAAACCCTAAACCCTGAACCCTGAACCCTGAACCCTAAACCCTGAACCCTAAACCCTGAACCCTAAACCCTGAACCCTGAACCCTAAAACTTAAACCCTGAACCCTGAACCCTAAGCCGACATGCTGAAGCCTGAAGCCGAAACTCTGAATCCTAAACCGTACCTTTGGCCCAGAAGACCTACATTTCTAAGGAAGTATATATAGAGACCATAAGTATGTATGTATGTATGTATGTATGTATGTATGTATGTATATATATATATATAATCGAGACCATAACAAGGAACCCCAAGAAGGAAGGTGTTTTCGGCTGCAGGTAAACCCTAAACGCGAAATCCTGTCCTGAGACTGCCTCAGGGGGTTGCGCTTCCTGACGGGCGTCGTGGCTGCACGCCTTTTTTTGACTTCGGGTCTTCAGTGCGTTGGGAAGCCTGAAATGTTTCTAATAGTAGTTGCTAATAGTATGCCTGAGGAGTCCCAGTGAATCCATATTGAAGACTAAACCCGTCTTGCTTTCATTAAGGCTCCTATATCATGGCTTGTGTTTGGTTTGGAGTTTACGGTTTACGGCGTAAAGCTGGGTTTTGGATGCTTCGTAGGGCAGGCACGGGTGTGACATGTGTTTTCAGAAGATTCTTGATTGGTCGTCGGACAGCAGCAGGTATCTTCGAGTGAGGGACCGCAGCGGGAAGCCTTTAAAACCCCTTTTTCTCCAACCCCACGAACCGACAGACCCCAAACCCTAAACCCTAAGCCCCTAAAAACCCTAAACCCTAAACCCTAAGCCCCTAAACCCTAAACGCTCTGGGACACAGGTTTCTTTTGTTTCAGGTAAAGGGGGGAAGCGAGGCGATCCGAAACTCTAAACCCCAAAACCCTGGAGCCTAAGCTCTAAACCCCACACCGAGACTCTGTTCGTGGAGCCCTCGAGCCGGTTTGCTTCCTTGGTTCTGGCACTTACGGCGGCTTAGTGTTTCGGCTTGTAGAGTCTTGGGAGTTTAGGGTTTAGGGTCCAGGGTTTAGGGTTTCTAGGGTTTCTAGACTCAAAGACCCCATCCAGATCCGGTTCCTGCGCCGATGGTTCAAGCACTTCAGAGTCAGTCGACTCGTTGGCGAGATTTGGATCATGAGGCTTCTAAACCCTAGACCCTAAGCTCTACACCCTAAACCCTTAAACCTGAACCCTAAACGGTTCAGGGTTCAGGGTTTAGGGGTTTAGGGTTTAGGGTTCAAGGTTTAGGGTCCCAAACCCTAAACCCTAAACCCTACATCTCAAAGCCTTAAACCTTTACGTAAACCCTCAACCCTGTTCCCTTAACGCCTCAATCCTTAAAACCTCAAATCCTGAACGAAACACTTAAACCCCAAGCCCTAAACCTTCAACCCTAGACCCCGCAAAACGTCCTCAAGCCCTAAACCCCTTAAGCCCCTAAACCCTAAACCCTAAACCCTAAACCCTAAACCCTAAGCCCTAAACCCTAAACCCTAAACCCCTTAAGCCCCTAAACCCTAAACCCCAAGCCCCTTAAGCCC